CGTCGACCCTTGGTTGCTCTGACTCGACAATCATGGGGTCAAAAAATAGGGTTCTACTTTCAGCACAGCCCCGTCATACTCTACTGGAGAGCAGTTCGCATGCCTAACCAGAACAGTCTTCGCATAGACTAGCTGCTGGACGCTACCCGCGACCCACGTGCCACTGGCCCATGCCAGTTGCGGCGCACAATCGGCGAACGTGTATGAAGTACGGCCACAGGCATGCGCTCAAGCTCCAGCTACAGTTTCATCTTGCTTTCAATGAGACGATCGATAGGGAATGCGCCGTCTGTTCGAATAGCACGTACAGTAGCACCGCTCATTCTTTGGTGTATTGCGCGTAGTACCGTATTCCCGGAACTCTCCGGCGGCCTCGTAAAACTAATGCTGTACGCACGCGTCCGTTTCGCATGGGCACACGCACTGCGGTAGGGTTCCACAGGAAGAGCTGAACACTGGCCATGGCCATCGCACGTGAGACTGATTTCGCGCTTGCGAAGGCCTAGCGGGGACGCATGTGCATGGCCTGCGTCATTTTCTTGCAGCTACTGTACTTTCTGTACGTCTTCACCGAAAGATGAAGATGAGGCCAGGAGGACGTCGCACTCTCTTCGGAAAGACTCGGCGAGAGACGGACGTAGACCGTCGTCAAAAATGTCCTGAGACGGACACAAGACGAGAGGAGGAGGGCGCAGAGCAGAAACAGAGAGCAGGGGCTCAGGTGTAACCGTAGAGGCTAATCAGACGTGGGATAGTCGGACGTATCGGAAACTTACGTCGCTCGCCGTTGCCGCGAGGAAAAGCGTGAACGCAGCTGTAGCAATACAAGCTACACGTCTACAACGAATACGAGCAGACGTAGCATACCTCGACACCTATGGTGCACGCTCACGCCAATTTGGGGTCTGAGAGGAGGTATGCGTACATGAACAAATCCATACAACATGATGTCGGGAAGAAAACAAAAACGGCGTTACTCCGCTGTTGGCACCTGGACCGCTCGACATGCCAAGCACGCGATGCCCTCCTCATCCAAGTCATTGGAGGTGGCGAGGTGAGCAAACTCGGTCGCCAGATCCGTGTCGAACACCCCGGAGTCGTCGGTGTTGACGCCGAACGGGTAGCTGTTCGCGTACGCAGCGCATGTCGCAGTCGGGGCAGTGGGAACACAAAAACAATCGTTGTTACCAAGAGTCAGGCGCAGTGCTTGTCCTGCTCGTGTTGCATGTGGCCAACATTCGACAGGAGTGATGCGAGTCCTTCCTCTGCGGCGTACGGCGAGTGAGTCTCGCGTCGGAGGTTGGCAGGAGCCATATCTACTCCGCCGCATGACGGCCCAACCCTGCCACCCAACGAAAGGAGTGCACACCGCTCTTGCTGCTACCAATCTCCTACCAAGTCGCCCCAGAAGAACAGTGACACCCACCCTGCTTCGATCCATCCTTGCACAGTAGGGTGCTCTCCGTGGTGGGAGAGGGCCAGGGTGAGGAGGTTCGAGGTCGGGCACACCTCGATAGGTATCCGCGGCACTAGAGACAGCAGCATCTGCCGCACCTCTTCTCCGAGAACCACCGCGTGTCCCAGCCGCTCCGGACGGAAGGCGATCACCTCGAGAAAGTCGGTGTCGTTGGGAACTTCTCCGCAGTGCACTGTCACTTTCAGCCCATTGCTTCGAGCCGACTCAAAGGCCAGCCTGCCCAGGTGCCAGCGAGGTTGTGTGTGACGGGGGAGGCAGGGCGGGAGGAACAGCTGAGGCTGGGTAGAAACGTTACCCCGCCGTGAATGCACCGTGGCACCACCGCATGAATATCTACGCCGTAAACAACTTAGCACCGAGGATAGCGCTTCACAGGAAGTGTGTTTTGTGAGGGGGTACAGTTTTATGCAACCTTTGGAATGCATGATACCTTGTTGTGAGCTTCTCATTTTGACTAGGGACAAACAACATGCATAATTATTCCATTGCCCCTCGGTCCTGGGCTGACCTGAACTCTTTGAATGATCCCTTGGTAGGGTTACCGCTGAAGTCCATTCCAAGCACGTATGGTCTCCACTCTTCTTCCCCCCGCAGCTCGACGGCAAGCTTGGCAACCTCCATGGCCTCCTCCACACTTTTCGTTCTGTCCACGCTGAGCAGCAGCCGCGGGGTTAGCGTCCCAGCTACCAACGATTCGTCGGTGAGGTTGCCAGATTCCGGGATCCTGCCGGTATTCCCCAATAAACTGGGGATTGCTTTCGTTGCCTGGCTGGCTTCGAACTCCTGAAAGACTTGGAGAACATTTTCAATGTAGTCCCGTCGGCTCGTGCCGTCTGCCAGCGGGCGAGGGGTGGTTCGGAGCTCGGCGTACCGCACGTTATCGCGTTGCATGTCTTGCAACGCTTCAAGCGTGATCCTTCGGACAGCCGGCAGGTCGGAGACTACGCTGAATGAGGAGGCAAGAAGCACGGCGAAGGGGGAAATATCGATTGAGTCGATTAATCCGCGGAAGCGAAAGAGCTTGCATTGGTGAATCTACAGTAAAGCTAAACAAGCCCCCTCGTGTAAGCGCTATCGTGTCCGTTCGCAAGCGACCAACCAATATATGCACCACGAACAGGCGTTGAGTGTTTCGCAGTTAGCATTCCACGAGTGGAACCCCGCTGAGATACCATCTACTCACGTGTGAATTGTGTCGAATATCTTGAAGCAGTCAGACAGGCTCCGCTCACCGCCCGGAGCTAGCACCCGTTGCTGCTCAGGCGACAGAATGATGCCACGAGCTGAGGCGAGATCCCGTACTGTCGCCGGCCTAATGCATCCGTGAAGATGTGCATGAAGCTGCAGTCGCAAACACACGACATCGAGTAACTTGCTTCAACAGGGCCCTTAGAGCCGCTCGAAAAGAAATGGGGATGGAACGGCAGAACACGGGATGGTATCTGATACCGTATACCGCCGTATCATCAGCAGGAAAAATATTATCGCAGGTCGAACTCTCGATAGGACACCAATTGCCATGTCGTGCACAGAGAACACACACGTTACTCTATCCACTCTCCCACCGAAAACTGCTCCCGCGCACTCATTCAAATTTGGAGCCGCCTCGGAATTCTTACACGCGCAACAGACGCATTGGATGTATCGACTAAATGTTGCGGAGGAAAACAGGAAATTCGAATTTCATTTTTTTTTAAATGTGTCTCGTTGCAGGAACACGGGGTGTCGAATGCTACTGCTACCATTACGGCTATGCATAGCACAGCAAGCAGTAAACACCCTTGAGGAAAGATATGCAGGCGAATAGGGGAGACAACGGTACCTATGTAGAGTGTGTCGAATCCCCCTAACGGTTGTTGGGGCACTCACATACCTACATAGTACGACGCATGTATGGCGAGGACGCTCGAGTAGCACAGCTATGATGGGTGCAGGAAATATATACTCCGTACCTCGACCTTGGGGATACGTCTTGCAAATTCCAGCAGCGATGGCTTCGGCAGAGGAACACGTTGCAAATCCATGCCCGCTGAGTTGCTCATCTGCTCAGAAGAAACACTGAGCGTGGCACGAGTAGACGCACAAGCAAGCCTTTTTGCGACGGGGGGCGGGGAGGGGAGGAAGCAGCTTCTCCCCTGCCAACGTTCAAAACGCGAATCCCGCTTTTTTTCGTGTCAAACCTTGGTATCCCCTATCCCCTCCTCTATACCAAACCCTTTTGCCGTCGGTGAGTGGTTTTGCGGCCGTGGTTTGCCAGTCCCCCAAGCCGTCGTGCATCCTTCAAGTCCGTAGACCCCTGCAGGCTCAAGTGCCTGAGAGGTCTAGTGAGCATGAAGGTGCGTGCGTGAGTGATGTCCAGTCAGGTGTTGCCTCGTGGGTACTTGGAGCGAACGCGGTTATGGAGGGACCATATATTTTTTGCAAGGGGTCGGTGTGCGGCGGTATGAGATTGCGGTGCTCGGCGGAAGGCGAGGAGAATCCAATGGCGACAAGAGGGGCAGCAGGGTAGAGAGGTGGAAAGTGTCCCTGGTTGTCGCGAAGTCTACGTGTGTGTTGGTGGAGCGGCTGTGCATTTGAAGAGTCTCTTTTGGGTTTCCGTTTTCTGACAAACGACAACCTATCCGCTGCTCTGTGTCGCTCTGGCTCTGTGTGGGTGGTTGGATTGACCTCCTCTCTCCCTCTCCGGCAATGTCGACTTGGGTGCAACAGCTCAACATTGCTTCGCCCGGAACGGGCTCGCAGATGTTCATCGAGATCGATGACGAGAAGAAGCTGTGAGTGGGTACTGTGTTTTTTTTGTGCTGTTCGACTATCGCGTGCTCGGTGTATACGTAGCAAGCCGGTGCTACTTGAATAGGACACCAGGCAGACGCTTGCCTGTTTGTCTGGATGTGTTGGCATTGGTGCACTGCTGGCTACGTTGGGGATTGTTGGGGGTCGGGGCGGGCTGCTGTATGGAATAATCGCTAACAGCAGTTACATCAGCAACAAAACTGCGTGTTTGTGAAGGAGTCACCTGGTGCACTAACGTTGGAGATCGTGTGGCATTGCCCGTAACAACGGCGGTAGCTTCTGTGTTCACCAGGTACAGCCTCAGTACGAGGTCATGTAAACTGCTGTAGGTCTTACGGCCAAAGCGATGTGGTTAGGGATCAATCAGACACCCTCTGCTTGGGCTACTAACCCACTGCAAATGACACAGGAATTCTATCACCTATTCGGGACGATTCTGTTGTCCCATATACAGGCTACTTCCTGCGGTTCACCCCTCCGTATAACTGCTGTTGCTTATTGCGTTGATGCCCTTGTTTCTCGCTGTTCCTTTCTCCCAGCCGTGCCTTGTACGACAAGCGCATCTCTCAGGAGGTGGAGGGAGAGGCTCTTGGAGACGAGTTTGCTGGATACGTGAGTCCTTCCATAGCAGTTGTCAGCACAAGTAGTAGATGTCAATTTTCGTTGGTGTTGGTACATGGTGGGCATGCATCATGCATCATCTGCATCCTTCTTTCAATAGCGTATATAATAGTTGGAATCGATTTATACTTGCCGCCGTCATCACAGCAGCGTCGGTTCACGTGCTACACGTTCGTTTCACTGATGTGGTGCAAGAGACCACAACGACAGCAGCATGCACCCTTTTGCTGCTGCAAACGTGCCTACCTCCCTTGACATCGTTCGGTGCGCAGCTCGGCAGTATAAGCTGTATGTCGATCCCGTTGCAATTTTGCGATCACAGCAGTTGTTCCAGCGCCACGGCACCGCAGGCCCAGTAGCAGCGCGTTGTGCGTTATGTATGTCGCTCATTTCTCCCCCAGTGGCTCGCTTGTCCACCGCACTGCGGAATATCGTGGGTGTACAAGACCGCTGATTCTGCGCCTCACCCGAAAAACAGGGCCTGTTTCTCGTACCAGTCCCTACCGTGCGTGACGTAAGATATCACACCCCCTGAATCGTTTCACAAAGCTCGATTTCTCCGCAGCATAAAGATTGACGGCGTTGGAACTATCTCGTCGTGAAATACACGAAAGCTTTAAACTTGCCATTAGTTTTATATTATATATCATCTTGGTCTTGGGTGATCGGAAGCGAGAGGCAGACGCGGAGCTCAGTGCCGTAAACACGGACAGTGACAGGATGGATGAGCAAATCAGACAGCTTACGCAGCGCCGAGAGCACGCGCGCGAGCTCCAGGCCGAGTGTATCGAGAAGGCCAAAGCCGCTGCCGCGTGTAGTGGTATCTGTGCTGGCGACCAAACCAGTGTAGTGGTATTTGACCCCTTCCTTTGGAATCAATCACCTTAGAGCTGTGTGGAACTCTCTTGTCCGACCACAGATGCAGGGTTGTTGTTGCTTTCCGTTGTTCTCTTTCTCTTGATTTGCGCTTTTCCAAGCCAACTCACAAGATCCCGAGCACACACGATCACCCGATCGTCTGCACGTTGGACAGTAGGGCACACATGTCTCGGCATAAAGCCCTCATCTAGCATGACGTCACATCCTAGCATCCGACGGTGCCAAAATAACCATGGTGTATGGCGATCACATGTCTACCTCCAATTAAATTACCGCAACACTGCACACACGTAGCGCGGTAAAATCGTGGAAGGTGCCATCATGCACCCTGACAAGTCAGAACTCCGTTGGAACGCACAACGGTCGTCTGCGGTACTCGTACAGACGTTTGCACTCAGACTGCAGTTTTTTTGCCAAGCAACGCCCATATAGATGGCTACTGTAGCGCTGTAGATGGAAACGCGGTCAGTCGTGATCTTGCCACCGTACCAACCACTTCAGCCACTGGTTTGTGACCGAGCCAGCGGAAGTGGAAGTGTGGTGGTTTGTTGTCGTTCGGGGGCTGCACTCTACACTGCACACTCGCTGCGCTGGCGCACGCGCCGTTCGTTTTGGGTGACGGGCAACACGTCAAATGGCTTTCACCGGCCAGGCGGTTGGCTTGATCTTTGGGTCTGGGTGGGTGAAGCAGATATGCTACGAGTCATGTGCTTAGCGACAGTGCGGAGGGCTGCCAATGCCTTGGAAGATACTCAGTCCGTGCGAGATAGTCTCTTCCTTGTCAAAGACGGTCGTACCCGGTGAAAAGAGTAAGGAATACCCTGTACGAGCATCTTTGCCATTGAACACAGCGGCTCGCATAGACTGAGTATCTTGGAAAGCATTGGCAGCTCTTCGCACTGTTGCTGAAGGGCACGATCTGTGAGATATTTGCTTAAACCACGCAGACCCCATGATCCAGCCCCCTCCTTGCCGGTGAAGGCTACGCCCGGCTCCAGTGGAGGGGACGCCTCCCCCCTGTGTCCCGGGGCTCAGTGATGTTTTTTGTTTTGCTCTTCGTGTTATTTTTTTTTTTTCACAGGTCAAACTTGTAGATACAGTCCGTTTGTTTTGTTGGCAGAGGGAGCAATCAAGAATGACGGTGATGTGTGCCAGCGAGACGTTACAAAGTTTAAGTTGTGCTGGTTCTCCGTTCTCCGTGAATGCCTTCCAACACAACACGCGTCTGTGCCTTTCGGTGGGTCTTGATTGCTAATGTTGCAACCACGATGGGCCTGTCGTACAGGGTTGGGGGGGATATGGCAGCGCTTCCTAACCGACTTTGGAGGCAGTTTCATTCGCAATACACATGACGACGTTCGAAGCCACGTCGTATTTGTGGTACTGCCGTGGAACTAGGTAGTCTCATTCACTTTGAGGTCACAACAGCAACCAAGGGTGAAGACGAAAGCGCGACCAACAATCCTAACATAACAAGCCGAATGGAAACGCCTTACCCGCTCCTATCTATCCTCCCACCCACAGATGTTCCGCATCTCCGGCGGCAACGACAAGCAGGGCTTCCCCATGAAGCAGGGGGTGCTCTCCGCCAACCGCGTGCGCCTGCTGCTGCACAAGGGCGTGTCCTGCTACCGCCAGCGCCGCCGCGGCGAGCGCAAGAGGAAGTCGGTGCGCGGCTGCATCGTGGCGGCCGACCTTGCCGTGCTTAACCTCGTGGTGACCAAGAAGGGGGAACAGGACATCCCCGGGCTCACCGACGCCCCCGTGCCCCGCCGCCTCGGCCCCAAGCGCGCGAACAACATCCGCAAACTGTTCAACCTCGGCAAGGTGAGGAAGGGAGAAGAAGCACACCAGGCTGTCGGTAGTGGGCTTGGAGAGCTGGGTGGCGGCGTGTGCATTTTGTTGGCCACGAATGATTGCCGATACCACTCTGTTGAATGTTGGAATCTGCTTTTGTGTCGGTGTCTCTCTTGTGCTTGTCGTCGCAACGAGGGATGCTTTCTACCGCGTCCTGTGTCCGATGGTGTTTTGGTCGTTTGTTGCGTTTGCACAGCAGTGATTGGCGCGTTGGCTTGCCGGTACACGAACGATACACTGTGATTGGCCAAGAAATACTCCGTTGCTTGGACGACACCCCCTCCTGACGGCTGGTTTTCCCGATGCAATTGCGGTCTGCTTTTTGTCAGGACGACGATGTGCGCAAGTATGTGATCGCCCGCAAGTTCGAGAAGAAGGGCAAGACCGTCACCAAGCGCCCCCACATCCAGCGCCTCATCACCCCCATCCGCCTCCAGCGCAAGCGCGCGCGCGCCGCGGCCAAGAAGATCGCCCAGGCCAAGAGCCAACGCGATGCGTCGGAGTACGCCAGGTGCGTCGTCCTGCGGTCTTGCCGCGGTTTTGCCCTGTCGCAGTCGTTGTGGGGGGGGGGGGGTTGGGTTCGTCTAAATCACGTCTCTGCGAAACTGAAACGGCAGCGGGTTATGCTTTATCAACGAGAGCAGGAAAAGCATGTGGGTTTCAGTTCTGACAGTTGATGAATCGGATTTGTGTTGCTTTCTCCCACCATGCCGGAGGAAGTGTGTTTCTCGGCACAGGTCGTCGCCCCGTTGACTGCCCCGCACTAGTGCTGTTCTGTGTTGCTCAAACGTGCTCTATCTGGTACCGTGGGATGCGCTTTCGGCTGCACATACGAATCGTCATCTTCTCCCTCTCTCTTGTCATGTCCGATCCAGTCCACTGAATTTAGTATATCCACATGCGTTTGTGCCGTGTCTTGTTTAAACTGCGAGTGCGGGTGTTGCTGCGCCCGTATGCCAACCCCCTTTCTCAGCAGTTTTTATTACGAGCGCGTGCGAGGTTCCAGTAGTGCCCCGCGGGTTCACCGCACGCTCGCCGTGTACAGTGTAGAGCCGTACCCCGTCCGCGTCCAAGAATGTGTCTTGTGTTGCCTTTTGTGTCCTCTGGCTTTCCTGGTTGCACGAGAAGGCCATCTCCCTCGCGTCCATCCCTAAACGCAACCTAACCAAGGCCGGCAAGTTGTATGTATATGTTTACGGGGGAGTCGGAAGGGACGGGTGACCAACCGGCATGTGTAAAGTTCAAAGATTTTTTACGGGGTACAAGGACGGGACTGAAGACTATTCGTACCAGGTACATAATTCATCGCCTCAGGAGTTTTTCCCTTGCCCCTCCATCCTGCCCCCAAACTCTCGTGTTCGTTGCGCAGCCTTTACGCCCAGCGCCAGAAGGAGCAGAAGGAGGCCCGCCGCTCCATGATCTCCAAGAGGCGCAGCTCTCGCAAGGCTTCCGCCAAGGTGGTGGCTTAAACAACGTGGTTGCAGTCGATGGCATGCATTGCCATGCCACGCGGCATGAATCCGTGATTTTGTTGCGGATTTAATGCAACCGGGGGAAGACCGTATCTCAGCTTTGACCCGTGGGTAGA